CAGGGGTGCACATAACTGGTACGCAGGTACGCATGCGCGGCAACAATCTGAAATGCGTAACGTCACTTGTGTCACAACGCGCCTTTGCGTACCTGATAGGTCATCAAAACAAAACACATATTTCGCCTACACATGTTTCTTGTCAATACTCAGTGGAGTAAATGATTAGACATGTCCAAAAAAAACAAAGACATTAAGCAGCCACTTTGCCGTTTCGCTCCCTGCTAAAATCTTCAGACTTTCTATGACTGATTGAACTGGGTGCTGGCCGTGCCGCGCAGGACATAACCGACGGACCTGTGAAGCTTCACAGGAGGCAGAGGCTTAGATCACTGGACGACAGAGTTGGTCGCCGTGTGCACAGACGGAGCTGCTGTTAACGTCGGTGTGTACAACAGAATTGTACCAAAACTACGTCAACTGGCTGCGGTGGGAGACTCCCCTGTGCACATTCTGTGCCCCGCGCACACACTGGAGAACTGCGCAAAATCAGCTGATCACAACGTTCACGCTCTGTGGTCAAGCTGCTGCAGTTTTATTTACAACAAAGTGGAGTAAAACACACAGCTGCAAACTTACTCAGGCTGTTAATGGAAGAGTTTGAAATCAGACAGAGGTGGAAGAAGTGTTACTCAAGTAAAATTAGAAAAGTATTATCATCAAAATCTAGTTAAAGTAGCGACAGTAAAAGTAGTCATTTTGCAGATTGGTCCATTTCATAATAATGTATATGATATGTTTTATAATTATTGATCATTAAAGTGTTTAAAAATTAGTTTGAATGACTTTGTATACTGCAGGGTAGCTTGTGGATTTACTCCAGGTGGAACTAAAGTCTGATTTAACACTTGATTATATTTTCACATCATTCATCCACATCTGTAAAGTAACTAAAGGTATTAAATAAATGTAGTGGAAGAAAAGTACATGATTTACCTCTGAACTGTAGTGGAGTAGAAGTACAAAGTAGCATAAAATAGAAATACTCAAGTAAACTACAAGTATCTTAAATTGTACCTAAGTACAGTACTTGAATAAGTGTACTTTGTTACTTCCCACCTCTGAAATCAGATATGACTTCAAGTCATGTGATAATTTCTTAGTATTTGATCCTTCAACTTGGCCTCAGGAAATGCAAGGACTTCACAGTTTTGGCAACAAGTTTTGGAGAAAGCAAATTGGAGGCTTACAAAGAGACAGGGAGGTGCATCTTCATCATCTTCATCATCTAGCATGCAAGAAGTGTAAATAGAGGACAGTGAAGGAGACACTGAGGAGGACAGTGAGGAAGACTGCACTTATTAACACCACGCTTCATGTGGGGTGAGTACCAAACGCTGTCTCCTGGTACTCATCTGAGTAACTCACTCAAAAAGTTATGTGCACACCTGGACATATCATTGTCTACATAAACAGACGACGCAGACTACTTCTCTCATTCCGAGTGTCCATCTTTATTCAAATGGCACGTAACCTGCACACATGCATTACGTCCTCAACGTGAGCTCAGTCATCCAAGATCTTGTATTCTCCAAGATGTTACACTATCTATAACTGTCTATCTCTCTCTATCTATCTATCTATCTATCAATCTATCTCTCTCTCTCTCAATCTATCTCTCTATCTATAAGGAACCGCAGTAGACAAAAGGCGTTGCTATAGCAACACGTCATGTTTACGCTGCATTTTCTATGAGGTAAATATTACCCGCTGGCGGATATAGGTATAAAGGGCAATCTTTTGGGCCATTTTTTCAATCTGACTTCATATTGACAATTTTTAACAACAGAGGGTGCTACTGTACATAACACACTTTCAGGAAAAGTCACGGACTGGGAGACTTTAATATTTTATTGAAAAAAAGTTACATACAATCAAAACACAGCTGCGGGTAAAATTGACCCGTTGGCGGTTCTAGTGTTAAGAAGCCCTGAGACACAGTTTCGTGAAAAAATACCCGGGTTGAACAGGTTAATCACGGCAGCATTTAGCTGTATCTGGGTAGAATTATCCTGATCAGATACTCAGCATAAGCTCCCCCCTAAAGCTTTAGACACAGAATCAGCACTTTAGTAACAGGGCTGAAATAGAGGGGCATGATGCATGGCTAGAATGGGTGATATGTTTGGTATTTTGGGAAAAACACTTCATATACATGTTTTTTATATATTTGTATATGTCTGATGATGGCCACAGCCACACAGGGTAAACCAACTACACTGCACCCTCACCTTCAGTAGTTTTGCTGCAGTGCAGCTGCAATAAAACATGCCAATTAACACCACACATTTGCTTTAAATGGTAAACTCTTTATTTGATTGTAATCTGACATTACTTCAAACATTTTAGCACAGCTAACACAAGTATTTGTTTGTATTAATTACTTTCTTTGTCTCTTGAGTTACCATGTCCATTGGGGGAGGTTACTGCCTGGTTCAGCAAAGGGCGTGGCCGAGCACTGAGGACTGCAAGGAGCCAATTGGGACAGATTGGAACAAACCACCTGCTTCCATGTCAAAGGGGGGATTTGGGATGTGTCAGTGTCCTTTGTGTATTCTGTTACTATTAATTATCCCTTGGTTTCAACTTGGTTTGGCCAAGCCACTAGATAGGTTCCTTGGTTTTTCATTGTAGCAGGTCAGTTTGTTGAGTTAGCACCTGTTAAGTTATTAGTATTTTCTGTTGACCTCTTTTATAGGCCTAGTTATTAGAAATTATTGATTTATTATGTTTTCTTTGGACTTTTGGGTAAATAAAAAACCCAGTTTATTTCCCCCAAGCCTGTTTTTCAGGTTTCAGGCTCGAAAATGACATGCCCAGAACAAATGACTATAACTTCACTTCTAAAAGGGTTAAATTAATAATCTTTTTTCTCAAAGCAAGGTTACATCTGTGAGTTGGATGAAGAAGTGTCAGAATCAATATAGATGTTTCTGTGTCAGAATAAATTCAGATGGAACATAGTAAAAAAGTGTAAATTCTTACCTCCGCCTAAAAAAACATTACTTATAGTGAAAACCACCCTTGAATGATGGGTTAGTAGCCTAAAAGATTTAGGAATCCAAAGTATAACATATAATAAGTACCCTGTATCAAGATTGAGGCAAAACAAGTGAAAATTGACCTTTTTAGAGAGATTTAGGGAAAAAGAGTCCAGGCGGACTAAGCTTTGGGCACATTTGGGCACATCTGGTTCCATCAGTGCCATTTGACCTTTTTCAGGTACCAGACTGTAAAAATCATTTTATAACATTGAATCATCACTATAGTTATTCATTCCATCAAAAAAATTATTGTAAAAGATATTTAACCTGCTAATTATTGTCATGGATTTGAAAACTGATGTTGTTTATTTGCTATGTTCTGGCTGCTAGCTCAGTGAATTATTGCCTGCAGTGATGGGGTGTATACCCATGGAATCTGTGGAATCTCAGCTTTCAGATGATGTGTTGTTTGTGCAGAAAGTATGAATTATAAATGATCATTTTTGTGAGTTATGAGCAGAAATAGCATTAGTCCATCTTTGCTAAGGGCTCATTGAAAGGCTTCTTGTGGGAATTATTATTATTATTATTATTTTTTTTTTTCGTATCGTCAGTTAGCTGAGTTTCTTCCCATCAGCTGGGTGTGGAACATTAATAGTTTCATAAATGACACTTCAGAGATCACACTGGTGCTAGCAGATGTACAATTTTCGGACCCTTCGGCGGGTCCGTGGGGTTTAACACCACTCCTGTGTCCTGTTGCCTTACTGCTTGGTCCCTGACAGTCTGATACCTATAATATATGCCTAAAAATAGCATAATAGGAGACCTTTAAGACCTAGTGTGCTGAAGCAACAGTGATCATGATTACTTTATGTCTGCAAATCTGTTCTGTTTTTAATGACACTGAAGATATTTTGTGCCCTACATCCCTTTTAAAAGTACTGATGTGACATCATGTTTGGCTACGTATTTCTCCTCTTATGTTGTAACAGGATTAGAGTGCAATGTACAAGCCACAAGAATGGATCGGTCCCAGTGGATACCACAGTTTAAGTGAGGCTAACAATGATGAAACTGGAGTATCTTTATGTCAACTAACATGTCAATGCAGAAATAGCTACCATGCTATGTAATCTCTTGTTTGTTGTTATTGAGATCCAATTTATTTATTGAGATTTGGTTCAGTCTCACTATTTTGAATTGGGACCAGAAACTACAGTCATTATGGTCTATTCTTTTCTGAGCTTGTTTACTTGCTTGCTTTATTTGAAAAGGAGTGTGTGAATCTGCAAACTTTTTGATTAAGATTAAGATATCCTTTATTTATCCCAGAGGGGAAATTCAGTTCTTCACTCTGTTGTTATTTTACAATTACACACAAAGGCCTGAAATACAAACAGAAACTATGGACATGAACTGATGGAGGTGGCAGAGTGAAATGTGCCGCTAGTGTTCCGGCACCCGGGAGCAGTTGGGTGACACCTCAGCAGGGCCCAGGAGGTGAACTGGCACCAAAAACCAATCCACACTCTTTATTTTTGGTCCGATTGGGCCTTGAACCCGACCCTTCAGTTCCCAAGCCGAGTCCCTACAGACTGAGCCGAAGCCAAAACATATTGCACCATCTGGTGGCAGAATAAGCAAGACTGAATGTCTACGGTTATGCAAGTGATCCATCCTTTATGCTGAAAACAGTATTTTCAGCTATATTCCAGTGAAATAAACTGTTATGTTCTGTCAATTGACTAATTGATTACTCACCAATTAGTTACACCAAAAATAGATTTCACTTACTGGCTGTATTACTGTTTTAAATTATTGGCACATTTTGACACTTGCAATGATTCAAGTTAAATATTTCTAAATCCATATATGAAACTAAACTTTGGTGGGCCCTGGGGTTGAAAGGATTACGTGAGGATAAACAGGATATTAGGATACGTGTACAACTTAAAAACTACTGCTGCACTTAATTTCTTATGTAGTTTTGTGGTGCTTAAAATATTGTCTTACCATGTTGATCTCTGAGATGGTGTCAATGCTGGCGATGTCCAGGCTCATACCCACTGTTACAGGACCATCTAGAAACAAAAAGTAACCAATACAAATCAGTGTCGTACATTATTTACACATTGCATAATCCCCATGATTTATATGTAAATACTATATGCTTGTTTATAGTGTATACCTAATGCATACATGTAACTGGGTTATATGAAAAACTGTATATTGGTGAGTCATAGGCTTCTATAGCTGTATTATAAAGAATGGTGTTTAGAGAAAAGTTTTTGAAGGACATTATATTTCAAACACTTCAGACTCCACGTTGCTGGCACGTCAACAGCTGCAGTCTGTCAAGTGTGAACCCCCAGAGGGAATCAGTTCTCCATCATTCACCATCAAAGAGGGATAACTTTATCACTCTTAAATGTTTCATCATCCTATTAGCCTTGTCTCTCTCTTATCAATCTTAATTTTCATTAACGAGACCAATGAGTCATATTGCAGATCCTGTGTGAGACTTAGGCTGGTGCCCCACGGGAACGATCCGCATATCCGGTTGTATCCGCATATTTCTCTTGCGTATAGCCCTTTTTGCCACACGAGGCCGTAACGAAAAGATAGAAACGGACCCCGCAAACGACAACGGGTCCAAAGGTGGATAGATCTGGGAACGGAGCGCTCTGGGGGGGGTCATACGGCTCCGTGTGATCGCCTCTATACGATCATTTTGTGATAATGATGAAGCAATAGCCCTGCCTCCCCCCACCTCTGCTGCTCACCCCCGCAAAAGTAAACTGCACACTGAATTCAGATTATTTATCTTTATCTCGATATGGACATAAACGCGAGTGAAGTCTAATCTGACAGGACGGAGACACGCAGCTCCTCCCGCTGTGAAGCAGCGGGAGCAAAACACACACTTCAAGTCAGATCATCACCCTTAGCTATTTTAATTAGCCTACCTCTCAAACTACCTAAACTAGTTATAAATATGTTTATTTTTGTACTGTCGGCCGGGTCACTGAATCAGCTGCTGCATGAGACAGACACTGACGCTGCCAGAAGAGAGGAAAAAGAGAGGACAGGCTCCGTGTATTTTATTATTATATATAGTCGTTATTCATTTGTTTTAAAGCTTAATAAATAACAAAGAAGACCTTTGACCGGCACTTTTATAATTTTGTCCGGAAGATTTAAACTTTTACACACGTTGACCGGCGAAAAACTCTGCCCGGTTCCCTCGGCCCTCACCACGGTGAATAAACAAAAGGGCAACCATGACGACCATGCTTCTTCGCTGCTTTTGTGGAGGAAGTTACAGCGCCACGTACAGGCTCGGCATATGTACTGCAGCTTTTTCCAGTGGTTGGAGCTAAACGGAGCTGTCTCGTGTGAACAGACACTATCCGGTGTATATTGCGCGTGGACGGAAGCTTTTTTGCGATTGCGTTAATCCTATGCGTTTTGCCGTATGCGTTCCCGTGGGGCACCAGCCTTAGTGTGTGCCTACTGAAGATGTTTGGGTGTAGAAACTACATGTATGTGCATCATAAATAAACTGTAGTCTAAATGATTCAGTCATTGTGACATCAACCAAGAGTTTATGGACATCTTTGGTTTTCGGTCGCCACCATCTTGTTTCAGGAACAACAAGTGGCACGAGAAGTACATCTCTGAACAAAACAATTGTATTTTACCAAAATGTAACTGTTAAAATTAACTAAAAAAACTGTGTGAAAAGTTCCAAGACAAAAACATGGACAGCACACAAACAGGACAACAGTGGTGACCCTTCAACCCAAAGGTAGCCACGCACTTAAACATACCCACATTATCATCTATTTTACTGTAAATAATCTGAATTATGGTGAATAGCCACCATTTACCAAATTAACATCATAATGAATTGATTGAGACTAAGTGTCTCACTGAATAGTAAATCAAGCAACAAATTGGGTAATCTTCTCAAGACTTCTATACAATGGGACATCTGCTATGCTTGAACCAGAGTATTCCCCCTAATATAGTATATCAGGCTTTCAAATAATAGTTTCAACACTTTGAGAAGTATATTTACTTACTTTGGAGGAAAGTTCAACGTGAAGATTAATGGTCATCTTGGTTTTTTAGTCATACCATTTGTGTTTTTTGGAACAATAAGTTACACGAGAGGGTGGAGCTAAGTACATTGCTGAACAAAACATTTTAAGGTAACCAAAATGTTACTATTAACATTCATGAACTTAAAAAAAAAGAAAAGTTCCAAGGCAAAAACATGACCAACAGTGGTGACCCGTCAATCCAAGGGTAGACACGCCCTCAAGCATCATTTATTTAACTTTAAATAATTGTAATATGGTGAATAGCCATAACTTACTAAAATAACCTCATAATGAATTGATAATAGAGAAACATTTTCACTTAGACTTAGACTTCTATAACCCTTTGGATGTAGTAAATACAACACTGCAACCACTGCTGATGTACAATAAAATGTACATCAGCAGTGGTACTGCTGTGAATGGAAACAGGAGAAAACAGCTAGCTTTGCTCTTTCCAAAGCACCCCTGGAGCTCACTACATTATATTAATTACATGTAATATTAAATGTGCTTAATCCGTACAAATATCACTTTGTTCTGGGTATGGTTATGTTCCAGGAAGCACAGCTGTCTGCAGTTATATAATCTACAAACATATAGAGTGGTAATAATCTTTCTCATCCAACACTGCAAGACAAGCGAATAAGTGTGTGTGACCCAAAACGTCAAACTAATCCTTAGGGTTACAGTATGAGGAACAATGATTAATGTCTTGAGTAATGGGTCAATGGGTCAGACTGCAGTGAGCGAGGGGCTGTCTGTTGACGAGAAGTGACACCTTGCACCCAGCCTGCACCAACATGTTGGAAATATTGTATTTGCCCTGTATATGTGGTTAAAGATACCATGACAACACAAAGAATTACAGTGTGCATGACGACACTGTTGCAGCTGCTGTATATCTAGCAAAAATATTTATTGGTGCTTTTTTCCCTAAAGGGTTAGAATATGAACACAAAAATTGCAATTCACACATTGTAATGCAAATACATGTGTGTGGGTGTGTGTGTTCCCATCTCTGTGTGCCAAGCTTGCGTTTCTAAGCGGGATGACTTGTGATTATACTGAAAAGCATTTGCCCCGGTAAAGTCTGAGGTGTTATTACAGATTATGCAGCGAGTAAACAAACCATAATCACATTGAGACAGATTCCCAGATCCCAGAACAATAATGGTAGGGAGGGATTTGCAGGGGATGACATAACATTGTTTCTCTGGAAAGCTTCTCTATTGGAAGTAAATTAGTCGCCTACTAAAAATTTGAATCTAAATCACATTGTGCATTAGCAGATCTAATCTTGGCTAAGCTACAACATTACATTTTCAGATGCATATATTAAAGTGTAGCATTCTAGTACTCTTTCACTGGCCCTATATCAGTGTTTCCTTCTGCATGAATTTCCCTATTATTGATCAAAACCAAGCGGCAAACTCTGGGGCAGAGCCGGGAGGCCAATAAGGAAGTGCCACAAACTGCAGTTCATCTATTGGCCGATAGGCGATGACTGCAGAAAGGATGAATTTCCATAGACCGCCATGTTAAAATGCCCAACTTTACAGCAGAAATAAACATGTTTCTACCCCTGGATGCAATACAAATTATTTGGGATATAGTTAGATTCCACCTTAATGATTATTAATTGTTGAGTGAATAGTTTTATAATGCAACCCTTTTATTTATATTAGGTCTTAAAGTTTTTGCATAAATTAGGGCGTGGTCACTTTGATGGACAGGTACGTGCCTCACTGTCAGCTAACAGCAACTTGTCCACTCTGCTAGGCTACAACGTTAGCTAGTTGTAGTTACTGTACTTGACCCTTCAGCCGTGTTCGTGGTGATTGTGCCTTTTAGGGAATGTTGTTACAAATACCAGACAATTAAAATGTCGTGCTGTGCGCTTGAATGTACTAACAGAACTTCCAAGAAGTCTAAAATGATAATATTATACATGTTAACCCCGTTAGCAGGTGTTTGTGTGCTTGTTAGCTTAGCTTGTTATATAGCTAAGCTAGCTAAGGACGTAACACTTTATACATGTATATACATATACAGTTTAGTTTATTATTCAGCCTTGGGTAAGACCTTTATAGTCTATGGATATGACGCCCATAATGCTAAACGAGAGCAAATGTTAAAAGGGGACCCAATTATCCCAGTGGTGGCCGCCGGAGCTAACGGAGCCGCAGGGGGCTCTGTTAGCTCTGGGCGGCGGAGTCCGGCGTTATAACTGGAGATCAAGGAATGCAGCGAAACGCGGACTTGGTTCGCCTGCAGCCCGCTGTAGTATTAGCTAAATAAATTATGTTGAACAAGGCTTATTAAGCTGAACATTGCCACAATTGTTCTGCTATGTATCGGTACTTATTTTACTTTATTAACGTGTCAATGACAAGCATTAAGAATAACAAGAAATAGCTAATTCTCTTGCAGATTGTCTCGTTTGATTATGAATGTCACGTTTATATAGTGGACCTACACTGTTTTATCAAAACCAAAGTGCAACGCAGTAACTTGGTATGCATGTATTTCATGTTAGCTTAGCTTCTTAGCTTGAGCTAGCTCTGGAACTTCCAGCTCGGTGGCAGCAGGTCCCGCCTCGGCTCAGCCTCTTTGCCCTTATTTGGATCAGGCTGGAGCAGGCGGGAGTTAGACTCTGACGTCACTGTCGAGACGTTAGTGGCCGACTCCGCCTACTAAGGGCTTCTCTGCAACTCTGCAGAATCCTATGGGTGACGTCACGGACACTACGTCCATTTATATATACAGTCTATGATCAAAACGTACATTCAATATGAGTTCTGACATCTCATTACACCATACATATGCAGCTAAGTTAAGTATGTCAGCGGATATTTCTCAAAGGGACGCACAGGCACAAAATTGCAATATGAACTGTTCTTGTTCTCTGTCTACCGCACATTTCCCCTGAGTGTTCAGTCATTCACTCGCTGCATGTGTCTGCAGTTTCCTTACTGTCAAAGAAGGGCCTGAGGTACTTGTTGTATCCTTTCATCAGCTTATGAATGGTGGGAGGCAGAATCTCTCCTTCCTTCATTTCTGCGTTGAGCATCGAGCTCTCTAACAACCTGAGAGAAGACAGAGAAAGAAGTAAAAAGAGGTAGGAAAAAAACCGACAAAGAATTTATATACCAAGCGGATCTCTAGAATTCACAGAATCTGCAGCGGCTTGAAAAGCAAATGTTACACAACATGCTGAGTTCGGGAAAAGACAGGAGATTATAATTGCAATTTAAATGTAATACAATCCCAAAAAAAACCTCCTTGTTTAATTGATTGAAATGACCACGTTTGGAATATTTTAAACTACCCATCTGCCTGTGTTTCCATCGCCTGACGCCTTTAAAATGACCATTTGCTTTCATGAGATTTGTGTTCCTCCCTGTGTTTCTCAATGCTATCCTTAAAGGCACATTGAAGTGTGGGAAGATGATTATATTGCTGGCAATTGCGGCTGGGTAAAAGAACACTCATTGCGCCTTCCCCAGCGGTATGTGTGTTTGTGTATAAATCAGGCTCTAAATACAGAACGCCTGCTCGGTAGAGAAAGCCCAGGGGCACGTGCCATGATGTAAGAGGGGCTGAGGCAAGACAGATCAGCCCGTGTGCAGAAGCAGAAAACATTCATCTCCAAATGTAGGCAGCCTCTCAGAGTCCCCTCTGTCACTTGTACGCTTCAAATAAGTGACAAGAGAAAGAGTATAAACGCAAGGTGGGATGTTTTTCATACGTAACACAGCATCATCCATTATCCACACAGGCATTATTAGGGTGCTTATGGATTCAGATTGATATTGAGTAATTTGTGTACCTATATCGCTGTAAACAAGTTGATCGATTTGAGTCAAGTTAACTGGTAGTTTCAACACTGTTTGTTCTATAAATCCAGTTGCTTAGTAATAAAAACAAAAAACATTAGTGTCACAATTGCTGGACAGGCAACATCCTCTTTCAGTTTGTAGCTATAAAACAACCCTAACCTTCTTTATCATGAAATGATCAAGTACATTTCCTGATATATAATAACAACAATAATAATAATAATAATAATAATAATAATAATAATAATAATAAGCACTTTTCCTACACCAACTCAAAGTGCTTTAACAACATGGCAAACATCACAAATAAAAACAGAACAATAAATCAGAGGCCTGTACTACGAAGCCGGATTTTCGCTTAGCGAGGTAACTTCAGGGTAAACTCTGGGTTTCCGGTCCTATGACGCTGGTTCTCTTCTTACCGGGGTAGATCTCCATGGTAACTTATGCGGAACGGCAAACCTGCTCCGGAGGTTCCAGGATAAGAGATCAACTCAGTGAAAGCACCGCCTGCTGACCAATCAGAGCTCAGTGTGCGGAGTTTAAAGCTATCAAGTCATATTACAGGATAAAGGAAATACAGAAAAACTGCCATTACAGGAAAGACTGCCGGCAAAAATCAACTGACTGTGTGAACGTGAAAATGAATAGAATATCCCCTCCCATCTTCAGAGCAATCTGACTAATATAACATTAGCGTTAAGAAAGCTTACTTAAATATCTGCCAAAACATAAGTAACCGGATCAAAGAAACATTACGTACAGTCCGCAGAACTGTGAGCGCAGACGGCGATGTGTCCCATTATCATTCATATCATATCACATCATAATACACATATATTTCCTTATCTGAGTCAGCTTCTTGAGCCGTATCTGGCCGTGCAACACTCACAGTGTCACATACTGTATGCAGAAGTATTATTTTAAGCAACACATTAAGTTGACGAAACTCTCGAGTCAAATGTAATTAAAGTCAGATCCACTCGTGTCTTATACGGGGCAGTGATATCATAAACCTGTTAATGTACACATTCAAACACTTTTTTTTTTACCAGCTGTATTCATCTTGCAGGTACAACTATGTGGCTTTTATCCTGGATAAAGTGTTTAAGTCATGGATGTTTAAAGTTTAACTTCTTCATATTTGTCTAATATTATAGTTTTCTTTTCATTCAGGAAGTATGACGCTGCGCTGTCAGTACGCTTGTCCATGTTTTTTGATTGGTCAAATGTTGCTAACCCGCCCCTTTCATGTGAACGCGCACTCAGCCGGACAGAGAAACCCTGGCTTGAGTTACCGAGTTGATAACCAGCGTCGTAGGACCACTTAGCGAGATCACGTTTGTTTTGGGTTAGTTAAGCCAGAAAACTCAAACATATCCAGGGTCTGTTGAACTGGATTCGTAGTACAGGCCTCAGGTCAGACATTAAAACCTTTTTGCACACATGCAGCATAGCAACATAATATAACAGTTTAAGGGACACAGGGTATGATGATCAAAAATAAAACACAATATTATAAATAATGATAAAAATATCACCTCTGTAAAATAACTAAAACCCTAAAATAAAAACCTATACAAGAAATAAATAAAACAATTGAAAATACACCAAATAAGGTAATAATAATAAAAACGAATGAATAATTTATGCAACCCTGCTCTTGGTGAAGAAATGTTTATGTACAGTACATGTCAAAATAGAAACGTCTCAAGATGAATGCTATGATTTATTGATGATACAATAGGAGATGTATGTTTGTTTTCTGTAGGGAGGCACAGTTTGTTGCACTTTGGGACAAAACAATAATAATGATGTAATGATGCTGTATGATGTCCTTTTTGTTGTTCTGTTTATGTTTTAATGTTTCATGTGGAACCTACTTGAGCAGGTCTCCCTTGAAAAAGAGATCAATGATCTCAATGGGATACACCTGGATAAATAAAGGTTTGAAATGAAATGAAACAAGAGTCCAAAGCAGTTTACTGCCACGCGAGCAGCTTTGTGAGGCAGAACAGAGCAGTTCTTTCAGCTCAATGCTAATGTTAGCATGGCAGTATTCTCATAATGGCAAAACATCACACATGTGATACAGTAACATCTACCCTGTTCATTGTCTTGTAGTTAACATTCTTCAGAGGTGTAAAGAAACTAAGTACATTTACTAAAGTACTGTACTTAAGTAATTTTGAGTATTTCCATGTTCTGCTTCTTTATACATCTACTCCACTACAGTTAAAAGGGCAGTAATGCAATTTTACTCCACTACATTTATTTGACAGCTTTAGCTACTTTTAGCAACATGCATCTCTAAAAATTAAACTAGTTGACTAACTCTTTAGGTCACAAAAGAGTAAAACATTTAAAATATTTTACGAAAAGTCAATCAGAACTTAAACAGTAAAATGCTACTTGATGCACAAATATTACTGAGAACTGTCACGCAGCGACAGTATGACAGGGGAGGCAGAGCCTCCCCTGTCATACTCCAATGTAACAGAAAAACAACTAAAGAAAAACTAAATAGTAATAATAATAAAATGTCTCCACTGATCTGTGTTGTAAGTGTGATTTCTGTATGATTCCAATCGCTTTTTATAGTCAAAATCAGCAAATTGGCCGAGCTCCGCTACAACTACATGGGAGCGATGAGGAGTGAGGCAGGGACGAGCTCTGCCTCACAAACAAATGATTAAATGATTATTGTTAAGGGTTATTGTTAAAGCTTTACTCATTGGGAACTCAGTATAAGAAACATCACTCTGTTGAGATATCTGTCTGTTTTACACTCTTTGCCCAACAGGGGGGTTTGTGTGCAAATGACCCCTTTGTGAACCAATTGGCTGGAAAGCCTAAAAGCTTCATAAGCGACCATCACTGGCCTCAGGCAAACAAGAACCTTGATGCAGAAAAGGTGGGTTTACAACAGGGGTGCCCATTACGTCGATCGCGATCGACCGGTCGATCGCAAAGGTAGTGTGGGTAGATCGCATGGCATTGAAAAAAAAAAAAGTTTTAAAGTTTTTTAAGTTAGCCCATCATCCATCCTTACTATGGCATTTGCCACTTGATTGACGTACAGGTACGCCAGTCTGAGTTGTATTGTGCCATACGGGTTCATGCAGTTATGAGGGGGCCTATGTAAGCGCGCCACAGTTTATCCGCCGTTTACTCCACTAGCACCCCCCCCCCCGATCTTTTGGGCTTGGTCATTTTAAAAGTAGCTCCCAAGCTGAAAAAGTGTGGGCACCCCTGGTTTACAAGGACACAGGTGAGTTAGGCAGGGTCGGCAACAGAGAATCAGTCCGGGAAAGAGTCTGGGATTGCAGACTGTGACAATGTGGAAATGATCCTGCTGAATAAAAAGTGCAGCTATCATAAACGTGTTGGCCACAAAGTTGATTTTCTACAATATACTGAAATCCAATGGGGAAATCCCAATACTTTGTATACCTCATCACTGCACCTGTCTATAAATAGTACAACTTAATCCTGGAATGTCATACAACAAAGTTTAAACCATGTGGTATTTAAACGTTATGATGACCTAAGGAGAACATGAATGAGACAATTCATTGCATTCCTTTCGATAGTTTTAGGGAATTTCACTCACAAAGTCACAGAAGCACTAATTAGTAATCATCGTGGACCAAAGTTAAATGGAAATCCATTCAGTATGTCAAGAGTGTCATCTTCATGGTGGCACTAAAAATAAAAAGTCAGGGGGATCACGAAATTCATTGGCAATATGTCTTTCTGGGGTCATGAATGTCCAATTATTCCATTCCATCCAATATTTTTGAAGGTATTTCAGTCCCTACAAATTGGTGAATCTACCCACCATCACTACCATCTCCGTCCTTAAATCACAACTGGATTTTGTTTCAAATCTGAGTGAAAGAGACTGAGACTGAGTCGCAGCTTGTGAATAATTACGAGAGACATAAATAGAAAACAGAACAATGGGGAATGTATCAAATTCATAGCACTGAAAAAATAAATTGGACAAATATTTGTCTTTACTAAATCACTATCATATCGGTCTATCAAGTAATCACTAGTCCTTTTCATATCCTTTGAAACTCGGGAGAGTACATGCTGTTCTGCTCCACCAAATCCACCAAACGACCGATGTGCCAAACCTGTAGACCAAAAACTAAAAATAACAGAAAAGCTCTTCCCCCAGGATCTCAGAACTTTCACCTGACTGTGTCGAATAAGCTTAGACACTGGGGTAACTCGCTCCC